TATATACACACATATATATATATATATATATATATAATTTATGTTAGAAATTAAATTTTCTGATAATTATTTCTGGAAAATGACTAGTTACGATATAGTATTTTTTTTTCATCAATTTTAATGATTTTTTTCAATTGTCATCAGAGTGAAATTGTATATAATGCTTCTAGGACAAAGGGATAAGTCCGGATTACCAGAACCTTCACCTACAAAATCAACGAGTTCCGGAAACTTTCTGGTAGATGCATTTAATGGTGGTGCATCGCCTATTCAGACACCCTCGGGTGTATTGTACAGTCTCGAAGAAGAAGAGGAGGAGGAAATTCTCAATAATGACATTAAGGAAGTATGCGCCTTTAGCTCTCGGTTGTCTAAAGCTCTACCGGAAATACTTAAGGACAATAGTGCCCTTGGTTACTTCATCCAGTTTATGGACACCAGAAAGCACATAGCTCTCATCAAGTTCTGGTTGGAGGTGGAGTGCTTGTGTAGTGCATCTGGGATGCCAGATACACAGAAAGTCAGACAGTCAAATCAAAAGATGATGAACGCCTTGCCTACTTCCTTAGACGATAATGAAAACTTTAGCTGTGACATGCTCGCTAGCAATGTAGATACTCAAACGAGCAATGAAATACCGTTCGATGAGAGAACGAGTGATGTAACGTCTAACGGTATGCCAAAGACTAGTCAGGCAATAAGCGACATGCGACAATCAAACCACGATTGTGAAGGTAGGAGACACGACACGACAACCAGGCAGGATGCTTTGAAAATTTACAAGAAGTACATTCTCAAAGAAGCTCTGGGTGTAAATCAAATATCTGAGGAACTAAGGCTAGATATGGAGAAGGCCATTGAACAGGAAAACATTGAGCCTATATTACGGTGCCTATCTGCTGTTCAAAGCATAGTATACGATATATTAGAAAATGAGTAAGTGATGTATATTCATTGATAAGTGTCGTTCAAATAAATAATCAATGTATTTGAAAACATTGTATTTTTCCCAGGTATATTAATGATTTTTTACGAAGCGAATTTCACTGTAAGCATCAAATTGACGTGCTCACCAGTGGCAATGTACAATTAGCAGATATATTATACAACGAAACAGCATTCTTTTACTTCATGGAGGTTTGCAGCGTCCTTCACAATCGTTACTTTTACAGAAATTTTCATAAGAGACTATTCTTTACGTTCTTTACAGTTTATGGAACTCGAGAATAAGCGCGAGTTATTGGACTTTTGGATGTCGGCTATAAGTTATAAACAGAATCTCTTGGAGAAGCAGGGAGCAGCCAATCCCGAAGAAGCGCAATCTGATGCCGTTATTATATACGAGAAGTAATTTCTAAAAAATATATGATTATACGGAGGAAAGAAGTAAAAATAATTTATAATGTTGTTACCTTTCTCACAGATATTTCAGTTTACAAGCAACCATGCCTCTTGGATTTAGTGATAAGATTCGTTTTCACGTGGAACAGAATATTTGCCGTGAGGATGAAGGCGGTCCACAGCCTGATTGTTTTGATAAACCCAGTAAAATTGTATATAATTTTCTCAACAAGGTACACTCGTCTATTACACAAATTTATCTTGAACTCCATACACCATACTCACTAAATAGGCTCTTACGTTGAAGTAGTTGTATTAAAAGTCAATATACTTCCTTCTAGCATTATCTGCCAGTGTTCTTATCGTCGCAGCTGTATTATAAATACTTATCAGAGTTAATCAACACGATTCAAACCAGCCCGTGTCCGAGTTTACATTCCAAGATAAGAAGAACAGGTTGATATCGATTGTTGATTGCAATAATGTGTTAATATTCGTGAAAGAATATTAAAGAATTAGAGAGTTATATCTTAATATCTGTATTTTCTTTTTTTATATATGTAATTTTTATAGTTTTATATAGTTATATAATATATATTATAATTTTGAATATTTATTTGCAGGTTCAGATTGCAGCAGTGAAGTAAGCTCAGTGTGTACTAG